GAGTACTAATGACACGACGACTTAGTTATATGCTATATGTAAATAAGCTTTAAAGTGCCTTTCAGATACTACTATTTAACTAAGTAATATTTAGCAAATCCAAACTTAGTCAAGTTTAAGAAGACTAAAACATGAAAATTATTTAGGATGCTAATATTAAAACTTGCTAAATCTTTATATATTATTTAGCAATTTGTTTAATGGTTTAAGAATTGTTAAAGCAAGAAATCCTTAAATACAGTAAATCATATAAATAGCCAAATTTACAGATCATGAATTTAATCACTAGTGAGGGTGAACTAAGATTGATCAAAACAGCAAGCTTTCGGGATTGTTTGGTAGCAACTTAAAGTCAAATTATAAGTGAGACATAAACTTAAATCTTAACAAACAACCAAAATAAGAGCCTTAAATTACAAAAATTTTAAATCATGTTTTCATTATATTTCAGGATAAATTATAGATTTACTAAATCACTTGATTCGGCAATTTAACGGATTTATAAACATAAAATGCTTATAATAGGGATCCCTTCCACTTCCATGTCTCTTCCCACTCACAAGCAAATGGGAATAGCAATATATGGGAGGCAGAGGGAGGAGAAGAAGAGTTCATTGAGAGAAGGATCTATGAGAAAAAGAGGAGAGAACCACAGCCCATTGGTAATGTTTTCTACTTTTCTTTCCTTCATCATCATCGTTAGGTTGTTAGAGAATAGAAGTGGAGTTGGACCCTTCTTCTTTTCCTCTAACTTATGTCTAGGTTTGGTTTCAAGCTGAGAAGGGATAATAGAGAGAAAGAAAATTACATTTGGTAGATTTTGTATGGAATTTGGAAAATAAATAAACTGGTAGATTAGTTAAAAGGCGTATACGAAAAGCCAATTTTTTTAACAATTACAATACAAAAATATACACTTTAGAGATTTTTGTTTTATGCAGCCATCATACTAAAATGCATTTTATGCTCAAAATATTTTATCACGCATCCTTAATGAGCTCCAAAAATGATTTACACTATAAGGAATTGACTTTTTTTTGTTGGAGTTTAATTGTCAATCTCAAATTTATACAAATCCAAAAATAAGTAGTCAAACAATGTCAGTATTTAATTGAATTTAATACTTATCATTCAAACAATTTTGAGGATTTATTACATCAAGGCTTACATGATTTATTAAGTCCTACCTGAGTTAAATCCTACTTGCAGCCAAATCCGCTTAGATGGACAAAATATGTGAGGATATAATGATGCAAAGTTCATCAAGATGGCTTTGTAGCTGTCCATTTTTTATTTGAGATTAATATTTCACACGATATTCTAAATTGCAGTAATCTCAACTTAAATCAAACAGCTTTCCCATTCTGCTAAGAGTTGCTTAAGGATACCCTAACACAACTTTTTTTCATAAACTTTTTTTCATAAACAACAAGAAAACAGGTTTGAGTATAAGAATAATAAAAACAACCTGAGCACGAACGAAACCCGAGAGCGCAAAAGTTGTGAAATTCCTTGTATAAACACCATGCTCATCCAAATGACCAATATTAATTTGAACAGCGGCATGATCCTTGGCAGCAATCAACCTATTCGTCGCAGAGCTGCAAACACAATTTTCCATGGATAGATCATAAGATTGCCATTCATCTCAATCACATAAACGAACTAACAAAACGAAAATATTAACAAAAACATACCACTTCCTAGGGATATAGAGATCCACCAGTTGTCCCTCTTCATTTTGCATTTTGTGCCGAGTAAAGTGAGTCCTAAACAATATAAAAACCAACTGATAATCAATAAAGAAAGGAGTCAACCCCTCAAAAACAACAAGTAATCAAGCCCCAAAAAATACGAAAAATTATAAACAGAATAAAATGGATTTGAAGATGAGAACGAAACCTTAGATCAAAACAGAGATCTAATAATCTTTGTGAAATCAAAAGATATAGGGAAAGATATAAAATCGAGCAATGGAAAGAAAAGAAATAATGAATTTGCCAGAATGGAAGCCTATGCGATGGCAGTGCGAAAGGGGAGTGGAGATGAACGTCAGAGGGTACATTTTATAGCAGAAAAACCCTAGGAGCTTTTTTTTTTCATAAAAACATAATAAAAATTATTACCACTTTTCATTATCAAACATACCCAAAAGTCTAAACTAATACACAATATCCATACCATAAAATCAATAGAGACAACATGTGGGTGGACATGCACGATGCACACAAACTAAGAAGGGAAAACAATTACCGAGATTGAGCGGAGAAGCACACGGAGCATAACTTCTATCTTATGCAACTATTCGTTGGAGAAAACCGGCCGACAGGTTTGAGCAAAGTCACGAACGGCTCGGGACGGAGAGCCTGGAGAGGAAGGAACAAATCGTCTTATGGGAGGGAATTCACGTTTGTTTCGCCTCTTATTTTCATAAATATTAAAAAATTATGATTTCTATAATATAATATTCTTTAAAGGTTTATAAAAGTTATATACATATATATTTATAGTTTCTAAAATATACTTGATAAATTATAATAATAAAATATTTCTACATAAGATTATGTATAAGCCAAGATGTATTCTTTACAGCAACACCCACTGCAACATATCACCAAACACCTAACGCAAACATCTCCTTCAACCATCAAAATGAAAGTGTAATTCTCCTCCTTCACCGCTGCCTTTAAGTATCTCGAGATCCATCTTGATCAATTTCGGTGAGAGCATTTATTCAGTATTTTTAAGTCACCTAATGATTATAGAATTAAGCACTCTTCGTCTCATTGGACTCATCTCGTCGAGCCACTCGATTTGACCATAAGCATGCAATATTTGGATATCATGTGGTCATCCAATTAATGCTTTAAATCTTCCAAATATGTTTCAATCCTTTGATTTGTACCCATTTTGGGCACATATTGGACATGTTTTGGGTTGTTGGGTTCATCTCATTGATATGTTTAATTTGACTATAAGTTTGTTGAATTGTGTTTGGATGGTCCCGAATTTTGAGTTACTCTAACGCACTATGAATAAAATCAATATCACTTGTAGGGATGAACAGGTTGCTCAAGAATTCCATAGCTGAGGGTCACCAAATTATGAAGCAGTACAATATAACATTTCTTTCCCATGTTTTTTGCACAAGTAAAAAAAAATGATATGCCAAATCTATAACAAAATAAAGCAACTAAATGAATTCCCAAATGGAGCCTTTAAAATCACACAATAAAAAAACTAGTGCCTCTTTTAATTCAATAATCATCAGATATCATTTCTTCCAAAGCACCCAAGTACAACAGCTCTGTTAATGCAAATGTGATAAGCTCTACGGATTTATGCAGTAAATCTGTAAAACCGGGATTTATCGAGGACTGAGATTTACGGAGCTCTCGAAAACCGTTTGACAGGATTTAAATCACACAAATCAGATGATAATAATAAAAAGCAAAGCATATCACTCAGATCTTGATATAGAACCCTAGAGATGCTACAAGAGTTTGAATCAAACCCCCGCTCATAGATAGCTAGATGAATTAAAAAAAAAAATCAGCAGATTAACAGATTAGGAACTACGGAACCGAACCTTATGAAGGGATACGAGAAGAGTTTCAGAAGATCAGCGTAGGCGGCTATATCTGCGAGGAGCTAGAAAGAGAGAAAAAAAGTTTTGCTCGCAGAGAGAACAGGAACGGGGTTCTGCGGCTTCTAGGTTAGGGTTTCTCTGTCGGTAATATACAGCGAGAGTGCATCTTACGTTAAACATCACGATGCAGATCGGACGGTCCAAATTCCCTTATCTTCACTTATAGTCTAAATAATTTGAGATTTTGCTTTTTAATGAAAGTGTAAATAAATTAAAAAAAAATATTCATAAATAATTTTAATATGTGAAATTAAAATTCCAAAATATTTTTAAAACTTTTAAAAAATAAGTAAATATTTGAGAGATTTTCAAATACATTTGTAAATTACATGTTATTGTCGTCGACATCACCACTACCAGCTACCACCACTTCCCACTATCCATCACCGCTCGCCGCCATGCACTACCGACCGCCATTATCACCATCCACCACCGAATGACACCGACATTGCCTATCTCCAAAGCCACCGCCCGCCGCCGCTACATCTCACCACTAGCCACCTTCGGCCGACGCCAATGACCCTTATCTTCACTTATACACCGAATGACCACTCACCGCCGCTACATCTCACCACTAGCTTTTTGCGTTAGTTTTAGGCCTCATTTGTTTGGCTGTAATTTCTGTCTCAGATTGGAATCGAAGAAAAAATTATTGTTTTGTTGTTTGTTACCATAGCTTTTTTCAAAATACCTTCTCCTTATCCTCTGTATTTCGTTGATTTCAGAAGAAAAAAAAAATTATCTTTTTCTCGTTCTAATACCTCCGTTTAAAAACGAAAAGGAGTCGAAGAACGAAACGAAGCCTTACTAAACTTCCATTCTATTTGTATTCCTAAGTTTTGTGTTTAGCAATATTATCAGCCATGCCACTTTCTATCATCTAGGGTAATTTTTATATAAGTAAAAATGATTAGCCTAATAAAAGATTTATAAATTAGTGATTGTTGAAGAATTTGTAAAAAAATTAAAAATTAATCAAAATCATTAAAAAAGCAGTAATAATTAAATCTGTTATAAATGATTATTAAGAGCCATTAATAATACATTTTAACTATACATTTAAGAGCAAAGCCAATGATTTTAATCTTAATCGCTCAATATTTGATCTTATTATAAACTTATTTTTCTCTTCTGTAAAAATCAATCATCAATTTTTTTACAAACATACCCAATGCAAAAACTTGAATGATTCATGCAAAAAGATTGGTTAGAATATGTAAATTCATATCAAGAATGCAATTAAACATTTACATTTAATAAGCCATAATATGTTACATAAACTAATATAAGTATTTAAAAAAAAAACAAAGACAAATTTTTATATTTTTTAAATAAATTTCAAGATTTAATCTTTAAATATGACACAAGAAAATGCATTCAATAAATAGAATGTTTCAGCTTAAAGCTCAAATAGCATAATCATGTAATGCAAAATCTGAACAAACTACTAAACAAAGAACAGAAAGCTTTGGTTTTCTTCTCCACCTGAGAAAAATTGTTCCAAGTAGCTTCCTGCCCACCCACATGGCTTCCTTAAGCAAAGATTGAACACTAAGAAAACAGATTTTTGGGGGCATCAGGGACTTGCAGGGTGGCGCCGGCTTGGATCTGGCCCCAGCCGATGAGGCGCCAGTGCTTCTCGACGCGGCGACTGAGGGCCACCTTCTCGCCTTTGCTTGTGCACACGGGAGCTGTGAGCTGGAGCTTGGCTAGATCGTTTTTGACGGCGATGACTCGAGCTCCGGTCGACATGGATCCGATGTTAAGCATGAGCATCTCGGCTTTCGTCAGTTTCGCGACTTTGCCTTGCTTCTCGGCACCCTTGGTCCTGACGCCTAGTAACCTTCGCAGCAGGAAGAAGTTGACCTGAATGGTGAGAAATGAAAAAAAAACTTCAATGGGCTACTTGCAAATTGAGAAGTAGGAGGATGACTCCTCTATTACATGTGTTCACAATGGAAGGCTAATCATGTGGCTCTTTTAAAAGTAAACTAACAAAGTTCTGTAATCCTGTTGATGGCTTTAAGGATGACTCCTGTATTATCTGTGTTCACAGTAGAACTGGAGATGCATTACTTAAAGCCATCTACAAAGATCTCTAATGGAATGACTAAGGCACTTAAGATGATAAAATAGAAGAGAGAGAGAAGAGAGAGAGAGAGAGAGAGAGAGAGAGAGAGAGAGAGAGAGAGAGAGGGAGGGAGAGAGAGAGAGAGAGAGCTGTTGAGTATTTGGGTATCAGTGATCTCACTGCTTCTACAGCATAAGTAGGTCAGAAATCTTGACATATACTGAGAGCGTTGCAGTTCTGCGATATCTCAAATAGAGTAATGAAAGAAGAAACAATAATAGAGATTTTTAAGGTTTCTGGTGATGAAGGTAGATAAAACAAACACAAATGTTTCGCGCAGCCCAAAATCACGTAGTTAAAGAATTTTTATGGAAGAAAAAACTGACCTCAAGCTCCACAAAGACATCAGGCAGCGAATTCACCTCACCAAGAACCTGGCCAACAAGCCTGTCTGCGCGGGTCAGTGTAGGATCCATGGTGGTGCCGACACCGATAAGTCCGCCAGGGACGGCAAACTGGAGCTCATTTTGCTCGGCAAACAACGATACAATCCTAGAAAATATTGGTGTGCATTTGATATTTCCATTTTCATCTTTCATGACAATGCCAGGACGAACCTCAATAAACTGATTCACCTTTAGAACTCCCTACAAAAAAGATGGAATAATTTTGGCAAATGTTTTAGTTCAATCATCTGAGGAACTATGCAGAAGTGTTCTATAAATTTTTTGCAATATAAAAAACCCACAACACTTTAAAAAAAAAAAGTTGCTCGCTCTTATACTCCGACAAAATGTAGAGAAAAATTAAAGATCGTGGAACAGATTCATTATGCAAAGGAAAAGGAGAAAAAAGGAGAACACAAATAGAATCTAGACCAATTAAGCTCTTTAATGCATTTTGAAGGGTCAAAATCGGGGCACAAAGGGCCAGTCACTATTTTGTGGTCAAAATCTAGACCAATTAAGCTCTTTAATGCATTTTGAAGGGTCAAAACTCGCTGGTTCCAGTGAATTCTACCCCTAATATACTAACAAGTCAAATGGATTAATTATCTTTTAAGTTTACTTCACTGGAGTTGGTTTTGGATGATATGGGGATAAGATTTTGGCTTCGCTTGAGACAGTTCTCTTACTATTTTTTAAAACAACATTTTAATACAAAAAAAATTTAAACTTGAAAAATTTATATTAAAAAGCTGCTTTACAAAAGCAGTAAGAAAGCTGTTCCAAACAAAATGGAGATCAACCAGATTGCTTATGATCACAGTTTAAGCATTATATAAAAATTGATGATGAAGTAGTTGATATCATAAAGAACTCTACCAGATGGGGGTACGTAGAAAATCAAAGAAAGCAGTGGCACAATTTCTGGACTCGTGACCAATAAAAATGTGCCACATCACTAGGCGCTCGATACCGCGGTTGGTACTGTGTCCGGACACAATAATTTTTCCACAATTTGAGATAGCGCCAAAGGCAATATGTGTAGAAATATACCACAAAGTTCTAACCCCAAATGGTCAATTTGAGAGTAGATTTTGGGGAAGTACAATCTCGGATAAAGTATGTTGAGGGATTTATTTGCAAATTGTAAAAGAACAACACTCGTTTCCAATCACCAATCTCAACCAACCTAGTACGATGTCATTGATCATAGAGTGCAAGATCAAGGCAAAAAAAGCACCAAATCCATCAGGGTTGAAGGTTTAAATTTCTCAAAGAATAAGAAGAAAAGCAAAAGAAAAAAAAAATAATGCTACAAAATATAAGTTTATGATTATTATCATACCAGAGAAAAAATATTTGAAGGTACACCTTGAACAATTTACCTCTAAAAAGTGAAAAAAAATTATTTTTTGAAAAGAAAGATATAGTGACACCAACATTGGCATTGGTAGTCAAAATAACATCATTTTTATAACTTTGGTGCAGAAGCCTGGATGTCAATCTAACCCAAGCCCTTATCCTTTGGGCTGGGTTTAGAAGGACTGTATCAATACCAACTAGATTTTGAAATCACCAAGGACTATATGCACGAGATGTTGTGCAGGTTGGGGTTCCAGAGACAAATGATAGGAAATTAGATGAATATATATACCAACAGGTGGGATGTAAAAATAGTTTTTATGTCAATAAAAATTTTCCTTTCTGCTTCCCATCATGTGAATGCTTATTAAATATGAGATTCATTAAGTCCGTGCAATAAACAATTTTTGGGTAAGTGATCTCCGTGTATTAACATGAAGCCTGAATTTTTTATGCATGGTGAATGACGTCAATGTTTTCTTTTCTTATAAGTATTTTTATATTGGTATAACAAGAGTCTTAATTTTATTCAAAATTACTAAAGCTAGGTGTTTAACTGCAGAGCAAAAATTCAGTTGTTTGCTATTTTTTATGGTTCGAATTTCTAGTTGATCTTTTTAAATTAATCAATTATTACATTATCATTTGTTTTCAGTATTATGTATTTACGAGTTTGCACACAAATAAAATAATTTTTTGTATGATTAGGGGTCATTGATTTGGAAATCTCATATTTTTGTCTGTAAAATCTACATGCATTGTATCATTCTAGTTGCATTAGGAATCCTAGATTGTACATATCCTACATCACTCAAGCACACGTAGGTAAAGGAGTTCAGAGTCAAATTCTGAGATAACCATAACTCTGGACTCAACCATTCAAATATTGCTCATAAGCTAGATTTGCATTTGAGCAATATGATTTAGCTAAGAAATGAATTTCTACGAAGTGCTGACTTTCTTTCCTATGTGCTTATATAGTTGTAAACTTGCCTACATATTTCCAAGTAAATTCAAATTGATAAAAAAATGACTAAACAAATTCAATAAAGCACTGGAAAATAGGGACCCAGTAACTAACTGAAATAACTACATACCCAAAGAATGCTTCCACCAGCAACACCGCCTTTTATCTCATCAACTTCTGAACCAGGCTTATTCACATCAAAAGAGCGAATGACAATCATGTTTGGCGGTGAGGTAAAATTTCTCACTGGAATGGGGATTTTGTTGATAAGGTACTCACAAACAACATCTATATTATACCTCAACTGAGCAGAGATAGGCACAACAGGCGCCCCGTCAGCAATTGTGCCCTGCATTCAAAGTTCAACATGGATGAAATTGTAAAATAAATAGAAGGATATCTGGAATGAAGTGGGTAGAACTGTTAAAGATAATAATTTTTTGAGAGAGCGAAAGATCATCTCAAAAAAATCTGACCTGGATAAATTTCTGGATGGCCTCATGTTGATTAAGTGCCACACTTTCTTGAATTAGGTCAATCTTATTTTGTAGGATAATAATGTGCTGTAACCGCATAATTTCAACAGCTGCCAGATGTTCAGAAGTTTGAGGCTGAGGGCAGCTTTCATTGCCAGCTATTAAAAGCAATGCCCCGTCCATGATTGCAGCTCCATTAAGCATTGTAGCCATAAGAATATCATGGCCCTTGTAAGAATAGAGAAACATCAATATTCAGGGAATCAGTCAGTATAATGTTCAGATAATAATAAAGAAAAAAAATATCGAGCATGGAGCTCCCACTAATGCAGAGTCTAGAAAGCCACAATTTCCATGATTAAAATCTAGGACCTCAAGATTATATTAAAAGCAACTTAATCATTTCTTCAAGATAGCCATCTAAAGTAGCAAATAACCCTTTCAAAAGATAGTGGCCACCTTCCAAACAAAGTTACAAGGCTTTTCTACAGGGGTAATTCAAGAGAAAATCTGGAAAATGCAAGAAGCATGAATCCTCATCAGCTAAAGGTAAAAACTATGTGGTTTTAAACTTCTAATGAGAGAAAAACTACATGTAGCATTTAATGAAGAAAACCTAATGAGAAAAAAACCACATGTAGCATTTAATGAAGAAAAACTAATGAGAGGGAAACAAAATGTAGCATTTGATAAAGAAAGCAAGTGCAAGCTTTTCTAGGTGTGGTTGTTGCTTGGGTGTTGATGTGTCACCACGAGACAAGCATTGAGAACTTAGACAAAATCAAAAGTAAAATTAGGACACTTTTTGAATTTTGAAAGAATAAAAGAGAGGAAACAATAGATCTTAATGATATTACTAACAAAAAATAATTAGAGCATATAATCCATCAACTTACAGGGCAATCGACAAAAGATACATGTCGTAAAAGCTTCATCCTAGCGTTCTCAAAACCAGGAACATCACAAAGAGGGCTGTCTTCTTTCCCGCTTCCATATGCTCTGCATTGAATGCCATTAAGCATGCTTCAAAAAAAAGTGCAACTATGCACCCTTTTTTCAATTTTGGTTTGGAGGTCAACATACTTGTAGCACATTGGTCTTGGGCATTTTTCATCTTCACATTTGTAGATCTTTGCATTTGCATATCCTAGTTTGATGGTGATGTTCCGCTCCAGTTCATTTTTAAATCGAACAGTCTACATGAATGCATAAAACCCATTAAATTTATAAATAAAAGTATATAAGCCACATCTAGCAGCAAGAAAAAGATTTCTAGCATAAAAAAGAGTAGCTGTAATGGACCATGGTTAACATATAACCAGAATCACTGTTTTTTCAACGACCATCCATCTGAATTATAGAAAGAAGCTTTATGTAAGAAAAATATCAGATCACACAGTCCAGATCAACATCCCCAATGATCTACATGTTTCAAACCCTAACACATTGAAGGTACTTGGAAATAATTTCACACATTTAAAGATATATGTCGACCTCACGCAAATTCAACAAAAAAAAAGATCTATAAAAAAGGTAAATGAACACCAACAAATTTTTGTGAACTACGTCATAAGGTAGAGGCTATGAAGGAAATCAAAAAATAATTACCTGAACACCAGATATAGCTTTAACAACAGTTGACTTCCCATGGGCCACATGACCAATAGTACCTGAATATTCAAACACAAACTATTTTGTGTTATACAAATTACATTTTCCACATTTCAAAAAACAAAAGCAAGGATTCTGGAAAGCACAAAATTATCATCAGAAAATTGAACGGATATAAGAGCACCTAAGTAGAAAGAAGTAATGGACTAGAATGATTAAAAAACCAAATTTTGAACTCAAAAACTTGAGAATCAGGCTACATATGTAAAAACTGAAAACAATGGCTCGAACATTTTGTATTCTAGGAATTTCACCATCACCAACCTACTCTTTATGGATAATATATTTTTGTTACTAGTATAGTTTCCATTATAAAAGAAAAGAAATATCCTTCAATATCTAGATCATTTTCATCTGATCAATGCCAAATTCATATGTTTAGTTGCAATATTTATCATAGAATAAAGCCAAGAGTAACATCATCCAGCAAGAATTACAGGTTTTAATACTTTTCCTTTAAAATAATAATAATAGCAACATTTTTCTTGACTTCATAGAAGAAAAATAATGTTGTGGTATGATAGTTTTAACGGAACCCATATCACGCAGCCCATATCATGGATCTATTGTCGAATAAAAGACAGCATTTGCCCCATGTGCCAACAAACTTTTACATTTATGACCCTTGTATGGGATTGACACACTAGAGGCTTATAATTGATTTGTTTTGCTATAAAACACAAGTAGAAATTATATGGATACTTCCTCCACTTTCAGTTTCGCATCTGTTAAAGACAAATACTTCTATCTACCCAATTCCCAAAAAGAGGTCTAACGACAAAAAAAAATCCCAGTATGTTTACCAACTCAATGGCAAAAACTAATTGTACATAGCTCTCCAAAAGATTATAGAAAAAAAAATTCAAGCAAAGAAAAACCATTCAATTTAAAAATAAGACAGACTAATCAACCAAAACAAGAAAGATGAAGAAAGCATCCTCTTTTCTCCACAAACCTTCAGAATTATTCTTTTTATATCATTTACTTGAGATTAGCAAACAGCACATAAAATGTCTTGACATATCACATTAAGAATATATGTGTGTGTGTATATGTATGTATGTATGTATGTATGTATGTATGTATGTATGTATGTAAGGGGAGAGAGAGCACCTATATTTATAGTAGCTTGTCTTGAAATGACTTCTGGTGATAATGGATTCAATTTTGTCACATCAAGCTTAGACAAGTCTTGCTCCATTAATCCCTTGCGAGACATTTTTGGTGATTCTGGTAAAATGTCGATTCTGGTCTATGCCAATAACCTGACATAAACAAAAATAATTTACATGCCAATTCAATACCACGGATATAAAAAAAATATCTAGAATATTAACAACGCAATATACACCATATGATAAAAAGAAGTTATTGCGCAAATAAAGGTACTCATTTGATTCAACATTGCAAAAAGTGGAGAAAGAGAGAGAGAGACATGCCATTTAAGTTAATGCAAATTAATTAAAAGGTTCAGCTAAATGATTATTCTTCACTATGAAAAACTTTGAGAATAAAAATTGGCTTGTATTGTTTAAAATCAAGTCCAAACAAAAAAAAAAGATAGTTTGATTGATATTTAATAAATGGATCAAACAAAGGGGATGCTCATTCATGATCATGATTTAAACATCAAATCATGAATAAATCAAAAGGATTTGAATCATTGAAGTTTTGATGGCCCAATCATTGATAAAAGATGCCCACGGTGGTGAGATTAATGATAAACTTAATTAAGCAAAATAGCATTCCATAGCATTATTTACTGCATAGAAGAAGCACTCAAAGTTTGCACCAATAAAGGCACCAATAACATGTCTCGTCACACCATATAGAGCAGACTGCATCAATTGCACAATCACACAAATCAGATGATAATAATAAAAAGCAAACGGGATTTACGCTCGAATTAATAAATCTCACAGCGGAATAAATCCTCCGTTTCCCTCTTTCTGCCGTAAATCCCGGATAAGCCACTCGTGCAATCTTACACCTCCTGCGAAGCAAGGAAGCCGAACAGCACCGACGAAAAGAAGAATGAAAATCAAACCCTAGAGATCTCTAAGGGACTGTTTGGTATCTGATTTATCGTAGAATTTAAGTCGGATTTACGCTAAATCCAGCCAAACGGTTTTTGTTCGCGCGTTAAATCCCGGGATTCCGTAAATCCCGGATTTACGGCTTAAATCCCGGATTTACTAAATCCCCCGGTTCGGCAGATTTAACGGGAATTGGTCGAAGAAGCGCGCGAAAGGGAGAAAGTTACCTTCACAGCCAGCGAGTTCCCTTGCTTCCGATCAAAATGTCGTAACTTCCGATCCGACAGGAAGGGAAAGCCGTCGAAAGAGCGTAGTCGAACAGCCACGAAAGAGCCGAAGAAGCGACGCGTGCAATCTCTACACCTCCTGCGAACGAACGAAGCCGAACCGCAACGATGAAAAATGGAAAACCCTAGACGCTTCTAGGTTCTTATTGATTAATATAATTTAAAATATTAATAATTAAGTAACTTAATTAATTAATTAATTGCATAATTAGTGTATAAATTAATTACATATTTTAACTTAATGCTATAATTAATAATTAAATATTAATATAATTAGCTTAGTTTATATATCTTAAAATATATATTATTAAATATATAATTAATAGTGTAAATAAAGTAATTTAATAAATAATATTATAATTAGTAATTAAATAATTTAATAATTAAGCTAATTTCTAATTTAATTATTTATTATTATGATTTGTTAACTATAATTAAAAATAAAAATAATAAGTAATTTATACTTAATATGTTATTAAATTCATTACACATTAATTTTTAATTTTTAATTAACTACTTCACATTTAAATCTATATTTGTCATAAATCGTCAGATATGTCATCAAACAGTTTCTCATTATTTAACAAAATTTAACATTTATCATACCTAATAGTTTTCAGGATTTAACACCATTAGGATTTACTAAATCCAAATTTACTAATTTTACTAAATTCCACTTGTTGTCAAATAACCCCTAGATTTCCTCTTTCATCTCATTTATGGATTTAGGGACTATTGAATTTTCAAGATTGCGAAACAAGCTAGCTCCCATCTTGAAGGAATGAGGAGTGAAGATATTGGTGGCCTATGCAGTAAATGAGCTCCCGTCGAGACTTATGATTTGATGCCTTCAAAGAGGTGAAGCAGGGAGAAAGCTATTGTCGTGCGAATCATGCACAGCACAAGTAGCCGAAGCAACCATGAAGAAATGGCGATTAGGAAAAGAGACGAAGCAAAAAGAAAACTCAAGAAATCTTATTTATTAATAGAATTTAAGTATTAATAATTAATTAGATTAATTATATGATTTCGCTTAATTAAATAATTAGTAGCATAATTATTATAGTTATAAATAATATAATTGTCATTAAATTAGTTTAATACTTAAATAATTAATGACATCGTTAATATGAGTACTAGTGAATATTAAATAATTTATAATTTTAAAAAATAAATAACAAATTAATTAAGATTTAAGAATACAATTAAATAATTAGTAATATAATAAGAAATTTGATAACTAACACCTAAATAATAAATTTGATAATTAATAATAATTAATCTAGTTTTAAATTATATTATTTATCATTATAATTTGTTAAAGGTAATTACAATTAAAGTTAATAAATAACTCATAGTTAACACGCAAATAAAATTCAAATCACATTAAATTTAATTTCTAAATAAACCAACCACCTTAAATACTAAATAACGTTGTCATACAATTTCTTATGATTAATCGGAATTTAACACGTATCATAACATACAATTTTCAGGATTTAACACTCTCATGATTTACTAAATTTGAACTTATAGGATTTACTAAATTTGGATTTATTAAATCCCACTAAAATTAACTTACGTAAACACAGCAGCATTGTGCGGGAAGCTCGGGCCTTGTTTGGTTGTTCGTAATTTTTTTGTTTCTCATTTCAATCAGTGAAAAAGTTACTATTTTAATGTTTGTTTACGCTTTTTCAAAGCACCTTTTGATAACCTCCGAATTTTTGCCGATTTGAGAAGAAAAAAAATCTGCTTCTACGTTGTAATACCTCCGTTGAAGCATGAAAAAAAAACGTCGGGGAACCAAATGAAGCATCAAGCAGTTGCGGGTACAATAAGAGATAATTGTATCCAACATGAACTTTCATGAATATATCCTAAGAAAAGAGTAAAAATATTTGATGAATTATTTGTATTATAAGGCATATAAAGTCAAAATATACTATACATAAAACATTTAAAAAATCATATTATCTTATAAAATATTAAGAACCTCATAACATAATTCATTGATGCTTGTGAGCTCATACAGAATATAGACTTATAAAAATAAGAAAATTTAAATATAGCCTTCATATAAATTAAAATTAATAAAATAAGACCACATGATATCTTTATTGTTGCTCTAGTTTAATTATACGAGTTCGATTTGACTCGTTTATTATGAAAGATATAAGATTCTTAATCATATATTTATAGTAATAAATTGATGCTAATGAATGAGCTTCATTGAGCCAAGTCATGAGAAACTTGTCGAACGGTCAGTTTATTTGCAACATTGCTTGAATGCTAATTGTTGTGTCCAGGAGTATTCGCAGCGGTAGAGAAATATAAAGTTTATCGTCTTAGCGTTATACGAAAATCCGGCACGCAATCAGATAAATAGAGAGGGTCTAACATTTATGAGACACCAAGATTTTTACGAGGAAAACCCCTGAAAAGGGGAAAAACCACGGGGCCTAGCCCAGTTTGAATGAATCCACTAGTATTGCAGTAGATTACAAATGAGGCCCTTCCTTGGTAGAAGGTCTTAGCTTGATGTACATCTTATGGAGTACACTACATGATGTAAATACAAAGAATCACTATTGATATGTTTGTTTGGTCGGGAGGACCTTAGTCGGCGGGCGATGGAGGTCGGAAGGCTTTTAGTCGGTGAGCGACGTAAGTCAGTAGGATAGTAGTCGGCTGGCGACGGAGGTCGAAAGGACTGTAGTCGGCGGGCGACGTAAGTCAGAAGGACCATAGTCGGATGGCGACGAAGGTCGGAAGGATTGTATTCGGTGGGAGACATAAGTCAGGAGGACCGTAGTTGGTTGGCGACGGAGGTCAGTAGAACTTTTGTCTGACGATGAATATTAGAAGGACGACGTCAGGTAGAAGTCCAATAATGGAAGAACTCCATCTTCGCGTAGACATCCAGCGTAGTCCGATAACTGGTAGAAGTCTGACGCCGGGTGGTAACTTGGCGAAGAGTGAATGTGCGACGGCGGGTAGAAATTCGACTTCTGTTGGTGGTAGAGGAGAACTCCTGCCTCACTTGGGCGGAGTTTCAGCGTCATGAGGGAACTCTGTCATTAATTGAAAATAATTCCTACATCCCATGGAAGTTGGGAAGAATTCTGGCATTTTTTCAAATATCCGGCAGAGTTCCGGCGTCTTCAGGCGGCAGGAAGAGCTCCGGCGGTGGTCAAGGAGGTGAGGATTCTCCTTTTCCCCTTTCTCCTCTTCTTCTTCTCTCTCTTCACTTGAGTCCCTTTGGTGTAAAATGAGGGCTCTATTTATAGCTTTTCTGGAGTGGCATAACTCGTAAATAGGCGTGAGATCAGGGGCGAATTGGGAGTGTTTTGAATGGACGGTGATATTGAATCCTTTGATCATGCACCGTTCATTGGGAATTTGAAGGCCTTAATGATGTCGGAATTCGACGATATTGGGCTCGTTGGATTCTTCTCGTCGAGCCATTCGATTCAAGTATAAGCTCGTCAAAATCGGAGACCGTCTGGTGTGAGATCTCGTTCCTTTACTGTTCCTCTCTGAATTGGATTTTCCTCCCAGGATCAGCCAGGACGATTTTGAGATCGGTCAGGCCGATCAGTGCATTGAAAACAGCTGATTTTTGGAATGATTTTTGGACTGGATCGTACAGGACGATTTTGGATCGTCTTGGGACGATCAGATATGACAAGAATCCCGAGAGCATCGTCCTGAGAAATCGTCCAGGGCCGATTGGTTTTTGTTCTGATCGGCCAGGACGATGTGGCGATCGGCCGGGCCGATTAGACTAAGCATATAAGGAAATCAGCTCGTTTTGAGGAGAGAGAAAATCATTTTTATAAAATATCTGATTTTGAAGAGAGAGAAAGAGAAAGAAAAGTAAAGGAAATCTTGGGTTTCGGAGGCCGCGGAGCGCTTTTCGTCTGACGCTGCTGT